TACTATATGAAAGCATATAAAAAAGACACCTAAATAAAAGCACTTTACTGAAATTTTAAATTACGTCTACCGAAAACTCTGACTATTTTGATTTCAGGACATGGAAAAAGATCTTCTCTTTAGTACGAACTTATCATTTTTCCTATAATAAGAGCAATAGATCTAAACATTTAGGTTAATATTCGTCTAGTTACAAGGGGTGGTAGATCTGATTTTTAGCGTTGCTGGATTTGTAATAATGAAGAACGCGCAATTTTTCTATGAGCGACCAAGACGTTCGACTCACCGTTCATAAAAATGAGAAAACTCTAGCAGAAAACAGATTATTTTCGTTAGAAGATTGGTTAATCTCACCGTAGACTTGAAAGCCCAAATGGGTTACAAAATGCGTACCCCCAGAGGTACAAAATATCTAAGGTACAATATGACGCAATGGGGCACTGTACCCCAAAATGGGGTACAGTTGGCAACCCTGATGATCATATAGTATTTCCCTTTCGTTATCTTAATTCGTACTTTTGTTCTTCTTTCGTATATTGAAATTTCCAAGTGATGAATGAAAGGACATCACTTGTGTTTACCTAGATTATATTGTATAACAAGAAATAGGATTAATCGAATATCACCATTTCTTGTCATATAAATAGTCGCGTTTTATTCTTAAATAAATCGAACTGTTATTAAGCTTCCAAACTATTTGTGACGGATTATGATTCGTCTATCATTTATCTCTCTCTTTCTTCTCCTCGCATGCATCTATAAATAGCTGCGCTAACGTATTGTAAATCAGTCAGTCGGTCGACGACTGCTGATTCACCTCCTTTCCTCTTCTCTTCTGTTCATCTTGTTCTCTTTCGTAGAATATATGATACAATAAAGGATAAACATCAACATATCCGTTATACTATTATTTTCTATAAGTTACATTTTAACAATACCTATGAAAGCTTTAGGTTAAACAATATAATATGTATTATTCTTTTCTTGATTAATCGAGGAATTTCAGTCAATAGATTAGCAAACAGTTTTTCTAATTGCTAAAACTCATTTAATTTTTTCTGTGTCGATTGAAAAATGATAATTGATGTTTTTTTTAAATTAATTTATTAGAAACTGGGAGATAAATGTCAGTATTTTATTATTAAGAGAAACACTATTGGATATATTAGTTATATAATCTTAAAAGAAATGTTGATTAATGTGAACTTTTCAATAATTGCCAATTAGCTTTTAATATTGTAGAAGAACTTCCTTTTGTTGAAATATTATCAAGATGAATTGTTATTTAATCAATAACTTTGTTTATATAAAAATCGGTGACATGAAAGAATACCATTGGTAACATGAAAACTTCACGTTCATTTTCGAAAACCAATATTTCAGGTAGAGTGTTTGATAAAATAAATAATTGAATAATTGTATCACATTTTCTAAAGTTGAAAATCATTAAAACAGATTTTTAACCTTCGACAATATTTTCATCAAGCGAAATTGAACAAAAAGTTTCTATCACACTAATATTTTCTTTTGGTTTTAAAGCCTATTCATACGAGTGAAGGTCTTTCTCATTTATTGATAAACCACAATATGAAATTCTTTCCACTCTACAATTTTCCATAGAATCTAACTGATAAAAGATTGGTATTACCAAACAATGAGTTTTTTCATCTGTTGCAAGATATCGACATGAATATGTTCAATTCGTGTAGTGTGATCATATTTTGAAACAAGTTCACATACTTTTTTTTGTATTCCGTTCTTGTGGGTGTCTGTCCACTATCCCTCAGTCTAACGACACCCACACTCACATTCTTCGCTGCAGAAGTGCGGTACTACATGACACATTGTGTTAACTATAGATATATATAAGCAAAGCATTCTTGTCTTTTATTTGAAAAAAATTGAAGCGCTGACAAACTGTGATACAATAACATAAGTTAGTTTTCTTAAAACAACGTCACACGTATATGCAAGAGAGAAAAAACCGATTTCAATCGTCCGAAAATCAAAAACAAATCAGTTTTTCTCCCTTGTATATATGTTTTCTAAATGTCTGTTAGAAAATGAATTATCCAAAGATTGTCTACTTTTCGCAATCAGAAACGATTATTGTTAAGTTTTTTTAATTATTTGTATGGCTTTTTAAGCTTAATAGTATCTTGTATTAATGCCGAAGTAATGAACTTTAACCGATCGGTATTACTGCATTTTGTCTCATTCTATGTCGTCGAATGCAAAACGCAATAAGTTTGACCATTCTTGGCACAATCAGTTTCAAAACTGTTATCAGACCACCGACAAGTCCAATTAATGTCGTAATAATATATATCGCATCGTTCTTTGTCTCAACGGTATAACTACATTCGGATGGTTGACATTCATTATAATAGTTTTCATACATTATTGATGAGTTCCATGTTTCAATCATTAATTCATCCACCATTTCTTGAATTGTTGAGTTTTCCACGAATCGAACTAACAATGATCTATCAAGTGCTGATATATTCATCCGTGTAGATAATGCTAAAAATGGTTGTAAGCTATCTATACAACTCTGATTATAAAAACATCGAAGATCCGACTGAAGTAATGCTTCAATTATATAACATCCAATATAAATACCTGGTACATACAAATATACTCTATTGTTAGAATAGTTCACAATGCTAGACTGAGATTTGCATGTATATGTAGATCCACAGCTACAATTGCCATATGAATATGGAGTTACACTTGTATAGGTATTACCACGCAATGTATAAAGATAATAATTAGTTAGTTGACCAGAGAGTAAAGCGTTACTTTGAGTTGTTTTTCTTATTGTTGAAAATGATAAGGTAAAATCATTAATCATTGCTTGTGTTAACTGAGTACTCAAGGATTGTGCTTGTGCTTGAAACATTTGTGAAGGTATGACAGATGCGCTGATATAACTACTTGTATAGAACTGAGCTAAACGATTGAATATGGTCTGATTGACTAATTCACAAAACGCATTCAATGCTTGAAATGTAAATGGCCCCGCTGCTCGAAAATCATAGACGTACACATTAATATTTTGGTACGATGCGACAAGATAATCAAACCACTTTTGGCTGACAAAAACGCTATTGCAGACTGAATGAAATGTGTATTGAAAATGAAGAAATTTATCATAACTAATTGATATTTGTGTGCAAGGGCATGTCAAAGTTTGTGGATATATTGCATATAATTGTGAATATTGTGTGATAGTAGGTGCATGGATGTCGATAGTTTTTGTGACATTTATCAACGAAGTATACAAAATAAGTATGAGCAACGATGTGGTTAATAAAAAGATGAATAATCTTGTTGCTATTCGTTGATTACGAAGTTGATGTTCATCGGTCGAGGGTGGAATCGATGAAAACAAGTTCAGCTTTCGAAGGAAAAACCGAGTCCTTTGCCATAAGCTGAAGGGGGGATTGGGAATTTCAGCTACTAAAATACGATATAAAAATGATAGTCATAAGTCCCTGGTGCCTGAAAGATTTTTTTCTAAAGTTTTCTATAAAAATCTTTCAAATCTAAGTTATGGAATAGTTTGTAAATGTGTTTATTATGTTTAGGGATGTGATGTTTTGCTTGAAAAATACACATCACATATAATATTCGTATTTTATGTAAAAATAAAATATTTTGGAAGCACATAAATACATCACAACTATGACCGAGGTAAAAATACAATATATAATAGAAACGTTGTGAATGTGGGCTTTTATATGAAAAAAGAAGGAAATAAAAGAAATACATACTCTCCATTGTGAGAACGGATCTACTTCACACAACGCTTAAGTAGCAAGCGTAATGTCGCTGATGATCACTTGATTTGCTAGACGATTCTATATGTTGTAGGTTGCTGACTGCAAGTAGATAATAGTGATTGATGATCTAGAATTAAATAAATGAAACATGTAAGTAGCAGTGCTCTTCCTATAAAGACTGTAGCACGACAAGAGTATATCAACTTGAGGGTGCGGGTGTGGCTGTGGGTATCAGTGCAATGTAGAGAGATGATCAGTATTCACACCTACATCCTCAAGGTGGTGTCACATTATTCTGCCCTAGTTCTCGATGAAATGACTTCATCCAGTTCCATTCTCTCGTCAAGTCGTTTCATCCCATTCACTCTCATAAGATCATTCCGATTCAGTTTCAGGTGTGATGCGATTACCTCGGTGTGTCAAATTAGCCCGTTTGGACTATTGCCTCGAAATTGCAACGGAGTATACTTTTCATATTAGTGATAGACGCTCCGCTTGTGAAACAGGCTAAATGTAGTTTAAATACTTCATGTTTATTATCTCTATAATTAACAGCAATCGAAAAAATGAAAGTAGTAAGAAATATCGAAGAAACCGGTAGAATAAATTATATAATTTATAAGTAACAATCTTTCTGTCTTTTGTATGTCATTGACAAATTAGTCGAGAATTAGTTAAGTACCATCATACTTACAAAACTAACAGCTATGAACTAAAATTTGACTAATATCGAAGTGCGTTTGTAGTTTTATAAAAGAGTGAATCTTTACTGTAGAATTCATATGAGGAGTTAATCCATCTTATTTTTAAAAAATATTCAGATTTAATAAGGTATTATATGCTAACAATCCGAGACTTAATGTATATATGAACTTATAATAACAGTATTTGACTGCAATTAATTCTTAAAGATAATATTCCTATATGTAATGAATACAACATACTGAAGAATAGTCTTTGAATTTCGATCTATCAGTTCATTTGTCTTCAAAATGACAATTACTGTTTGGTTCTAGTTTTAAATGTTTCTAATTGTAAAATGGTATCAATAAAATAAACATCGAATCCTCAATCATCAGTAAAGGATAATTGATAACTATATTTATTTCATAATGCAATAGCACTGGTCTCTGCATCGATAGGGTTGCTTTAAACGAAAAGTACATACCAAAACGGTTGTTATTTTCTAAACTGCTTGAATTGAATATGTTGTTTTCAACTGACAGCCAACAACACAAAGTGTTATTCCTTTTATACACGCTACAAAGGATGTTTTTCTCATTGTATATGGCAATAGTAGAAAAAAGAATTATACGAGCATTCTGTTGTCTTCAGTGCATTTTTATTACCAGTTAGAAAAAAAAGTTTAGGCAGCTTTTACATTCTTATGTGTTTCTTCAGAATGATTCTTCATCGAGAAGGTTCTTTTATTATAATTGAAATCTTTTTTTTTTCTTCTTCACAGAAGTCAAGCATCATTTCTCCCTTTCGATTCATCATGTTCATATTCACTTAAACTAGTTAAAATTCACTAACATTACTCATCTCAATAAATACTTTTATGGAGATATTTCAGTTAAATGGTTGGTAGTCTCATATAAAATTTCGTTGTTGATTCATTCTTAACTGGAAAATAATAAAATTCGAAAGTAACAGTTAAAACTCGCATAATCAAAATAGTTTTTAAGATATAGACGCTTTCTCTCGTTAATTTCCATTTAGATTTCGATAATCCAGAAAACTCATACATTTAAATCGAATGTTATGAATATTGTCGTATATATTAAACTAGTTTCAAACTGTTGACTAAAACTTTCGAACGCTAATGCCACTCGGAAATAAACAGAATACATTGTTTACAATTAAGTAAAGAGAATCACTTGTTAGTCATTTTGTTGCTATATTATAGTTGTTAGAAAAAAAATAGCATCAACGGCAACCATTACTCTTGTAAATGTAATTTCACAACATTGTCCTTAACAACTTTCGCCTGTCTCAGATTGAATGAGTCGAACGTTCATAAATTATTAACAACACAAGCAAAACAAAGTGTTAGTTGTATTACTGTTTATATTTCTATTTTCCTGATTACAGCAATGAAGAAAGTGTTGTTAAAGTAACGATGCAATTTCAATAAAGCTCAAATGAGTATTGTTCTGTCAATATAGAAATGCAAAGAATAGTAGATAGGATATACAATTCTAGAGGATTCTACCTAACAAAATACATAGTCGCAAAATGGATCATAATTGAACAAAAATTTACAAATGTATAAAAAGAAAGAAAAGAAAAGGAGAATAACAATAAGTTATTTACGAGCACAGAAGAGAACTGAGCAAGTATAAAGAAATGAATTAATTGGGTTAGAAAACATGAAACAGACAGTAAAATACTCGTACTGCTAGACAATGATTAATGACACTCTTATCGTCGAGAAAAAGAAAATTCTAAACCAAACATACACGCAATCAATAAAGTGAACTTACCAAGAGCGGCCAGCGTAGTTATGGAGCAGGAGTGTCACGTTACCCTTACTGTTAATAGTAAGTAGTAACCACCAGTTACTAGTAAGTGGTAAGTGATTGTTTTAACTAACTACTCCATAAAAAAAAATTGGCGCCATAGGAAACTATCAAAAGGTTTTAGCGAAGATTCAGAACCTTTTAAGGTTCCATCCATTTACGAATAAACTATTAGAAGATTCTGGACAGTTTTAAAAACCATGTCTAATATCAAAATGGTTTCAGAGATTTAAAATAGTTCTAGCTTGTACCATTTCTTTAAATACAGAACCATTATGCATGAAAAATAGTTCCATATATTCAGAAGGGTTCTATCTTACACCATTTTTTTAAATTAAGAACCATGTATGATAGAGAATGGCTTGAAAAAATTTAAAATGGTTCTGTCTCATATCTTTGATCTTTTAGAGAACACTGACTGATAAAAAACGGTTTTAAAAATTTAAAAACAGTTTTATACTGAACCATTTCTTTCTCTGAGGTGTGACAACTTAATTAAAATGGTTCCAGCTACTAAAAAGGGTTCGACATCACACCATCGCTTTTATTAAAGAATCATCAGTGATTTAAAAGGATTTTAGAATTTATAAGAGTTCTATCTCGCACTCTTATTCACTTCATAAAGAATCCCGGTTGATAGAAAATGATTTTAATAATTTAAAAGGGTTCTATACTGCACCATTTGCTCTATGGTTTCCTTCTTTCAAAAGTAGTTTAAGCATAGGTCGAATGTGTTGAATTCAAAATAATATGGGTCAAACCGATTCTCTCAACACTGGCCGGAGTTATGATATGTTTGCAATAACGTTCAAATTCAGGTCATCTCATGGAATGCTACATAATTTGATTAGTCTCATGTGAAAATTCTCTAAATTTCATAATAGAAAAAGTCTCGTAGTAATATTCCTGAAGTATTTTTTATAGAAAGTTCTCTATTAAATTATTTTTGTTTCGACTTTTTATAACAAGCACCGTCGTTCATTACTTTAAAACACAACTAATCTGAATCATCTATTTTTATCTTTCTACCTTTCATCTTGCTACCACATTCGCATATTTTATTGGTAGATTTACATTTTACATTTTGCTAGACATAGTGAAATTTGAGAGTTATATGATAAACATCGACTATACTGACAATAGGATTTATTCACTGAAATCTTGAGACGCGCAGATTATTTCAATAGAAATATTCTGATGATTGATAGCGGTTTCTCTCTGAATTTCAAAATTATTACGGTCATGTCTTGCTACTGTTCTTAGGACGCTGATTGCTGGAGCAAATTAAACTAAAGTTTTGCTTGTTATTTTGACTAGATAGAATGTTTCTTCGCTGGAAAAACTTTAGCTATTAAAATATCTGTCTTTTCCTGTCACTTGTTGTTTGTCGTGTTCAAATTAGTGAAGTTTAGATATAAATATAAGGGATAAATATCACAATATCGATTAGATGAAAAACGAATAGGATATATGATTATTAGATAAGGATAAGAATAAAGGTAGAATTAAGCAATTACGAGAAGAATTCAGCTATTACAAATAGAACTACTGAACTAAAACAGAGGTCTGCCATTACGGTCAGATGTAAGAGTTAA